GTGCGGTGCCTCCTTGAGCGCTCCTTGAGCGGCCGGCCCGGCCCCGCTTGTGTGGCGGTCACAGTGGACTGCTTGCAAGCATGACATCGACAAAGTTTGGCGAAGTGGGAAGGGCTAAGGAGGGCGGGGAGGGTCTCGTCGCCGCACGCGCCCTTCCCTACCACCGCCGTCCCCCGGCCGGAGGGAGGGCCGCCTTGTACAAGTATTTCAGGAGAAACGAGGGACTTTTACCCGCGTTTTGCCTTGGAATTGGCGCAACATTATCGATGTTCGAGAGACCGTATTAAACTTAACCCGAACAAACTGTTTTTATATATTGGTAACATATTTGTAATTTGAATGCTATTTGTATCTGTGTGCAGTTCAGGGAGGCAAGGTGGGCGTACATAATTGTACCTTCCCATTTCGAGTGTACGGCACATGTTCGGGGGCGGGCCCAGCCCAGCAGCCCAAGGCGTGCGCAGGCGAGTCGACCCGACCCGACCCGACCACGAAACAATGTATCCATAGAGCTGATCCGGATCCGGTCTCGGGGAGTCTCAACGGCCTCCGTCGAGCTCCCCTCCCGGCGCCCCCCTCTCGTCGTACGGCCTCCCCCGCCCCCCTCTCCTCCTGATTGTGTTCATTTCAAGTAGTGATTGTGCCCCCCGCCCTCATTGTCAGCAAGCTGCCTGGGATGCCTGGGATATTATGTTATCCTTCTAGCTTAAAGAAAAAAATCAGGGGGGAAAATTTCCGGTTAAACGAGCATAACGAGTAAATATGATAGGGTTCGGACCATTATAATTACACTGAAAACGACGGTAAATTGCATAGTCTTAGAGAACCTTCGTTCAGAACCATATCACATGTGGGCTCGTTTGATGCGGGGAATTTCACAAGTAATTCGACGCTGCTCTCTAAAATTTAATCTGAAAGCTCACAAAGAAAATTTTCGTGGCTCACTGTGCGTCCTCATCTAGTGATTGACATGCGTCATTATTAGTTAGTTTTCAGCGATCGCAGATTGCCTGGGCGGGTGTACACCAGATTGCCGGAGTTGTGGCCCCTCGCCGTGTCCTGTGTCCCCGTCCTCCGTATGGAGGAGCACAGGGTCCTCGCTGCTCTAGAGCGACAGAGACGGAGCAGTTCTCCCAAAAAGCCCCCCCCCCCCACCTCTCTCTCATGGAAGCCCTCCACCCCTCTCTCTATCTCTCTCTAACCCGTTCAAGTGAGCAGCGCCGCGCCATTTTCGCCGCAGCGCAGCGTCGTGCACCACACCTTTGCCTCGGATGGCGTGCAGTCACGCGAGAGCTATCGATACTATCGAATCGAATATATCGCGATTGGAATCTGAGACATGTGAGTCTGCTGCTGCGCGATGCGACGCGACGCCTCTCAAGAAACGCCGTCGCCGGCTGGAGGTAAAAGAAAAATACGAAAGGAGCACGAAAGAGAGATGATATCAAACTGTGCTGTCTCATCTTGAAAACACAAAGTAAACGTCTAATACTATTTATGATTGCTTTTATGTCCATTGATGATAGTTCCAAATCTACTTCAGACCGACGTCAAATTCGAAAATTTACCGATTGGTGGACCTAAAGCTAATCCATCACGACTCAATTTCGCAACTCTAGTTGTCTACATAATTTTTGGAGCTTTCCTTAAATCTCTATGTATTTATTGAGGTGGGATTTAGGGGGGGGGGGCTGCTACCGCAGGCGCAATAGTGTTGTTCCGCTTCGGGAAACGCAGAGAGGCGGGAAAGCGGTGGAGGGGGGCTGGAGAGACTTTATGGGTCTATCATGTGTGCCCTCTGGCTGCAAGCCCACCCGTCTGCAGAACGGTTTAGGAGGAGGGGAAGGGGTGGCCATCGGAATAGAACTGACACAGGTGGTGGCGGGGCCAAAAAACAAAACAAAAAAATACATTCGTAAAAAAAGTATTAGGAGGAAAAATATGATTCTCATGGTCTTCCCGAGTCATCTCTTGTGTGCTCGAAAAGCAGACAAGAGCACCCAAATTGTGAGTGTAAAATTCTTTGGCATCTGCTTTACAATAAGACTGTCAAATAATGCTTTTGATTTTCATGCGACAATCTCGCAGGATCAGGGTGTTTTTTGTCGGTCGTTTGTCTCAAGTTACTGAGTATAGGAGTGTAGGAGCAGCTGCTGCCTTCGCGCCGAGAGGTTTGTTAGTCACATCTTCCGTCTACAGGGTCGCTCGTTGTTTCCCCCAACCCAACCTAAGTTACCGCGCGCGCTTACCGCTACTTGAGGATGTCATTCGAAAATAGAGTAAGTGTGGGAGAGAGAAAGAGAATGGGCGACAGAATTGACGGGGATGGGGTCGAGCTGCGGGGAAAGTAGAAGGACGGGGGG